AGTTTACAACTTAAAAAAAGTTACATAATATACTGTACAATATATACTGTATGCCTTTTCCACTGAGCTCCTTTGGAGATGAATAATGATATGCTTTTAACTGCTTTTAATTGATATAACTATATCACAAACATGATCCCCACTCTAAATCTAACACTTGTTTGGTTTTCCCAAATTATAGCTTATTACATGAGCAACAGATATTTCTCACCTTACAGAACTTCTACAATTAATAAAAATTATTTTATTTGACATTTTCTTGTATTAACTGATTGGTAAATTCTTGGCTTCTGTAACATATTTACAAATTTGTACAAAAGGTATACCTATACATTTGATGTAACTTACTCCTTCCGAGCCACATCTCATTTTTGTTTGCTGTATAATTTGTACATTAAGGGGCTACGTTTTATCCTAACAAGCATATGCAGATCTTAAGGCACCTGAAGCATTTGCAGGGCAGATGTTGCTCTTTTGATCTTACACACCTTTCTAAGCTATGGGTGGGTCAGGTATATGGCTCTCCTGCTATTGGTCCCAAAGCAGGCATTGCTATATTACTTAAACACTTGCGACATACTGTGCACTCTATTGAAACGGATTCTGAGGATACTTTATCCTTGACAGTCGGTTATCGTGGCATTTCTATTTCCAACATTTATGCCTCCAACTCCCCAAGGTAGGAATTTTTTCAAAATTTGGTTACTTGGGCTATACAAATCCCTGAAACTTGCCACCTACTTGGTGGGGACCTTAATTCTGTCAAGCATCAACTTGTCGACCGCACTAGAGACCACTCGTAACAGGGCCAACAGCACACCTCTCAAGCCCCTCCTCCCACTCTCCTAGCACAATCTATCTCTACACTTAACTTCATCGATACATGGCATCTAACACACTCAACGGACTGTGAATATTCATTCTATTCTCACCCCACACGATTCCTTTTCTCGTATTTATTACTTACTGCTCACCAGCCTTCCTTCCCCGGACTCGAAAGACCGTCATATGCTACATGGCTATTTCCAACCACTGCCCCGTATTACTTCAACTGTAAGGACTAAAAACACAGATATCCACTGGATCCTGGTGCTCCCCTTCCCTACTTTGTGGCCACAAATGGAGCCCATATAACTAACCCCAACCTTTTTTGGGAAGCAGGAAAAGCATTTCTCCGAGGGTGCATAATCGCACATGCCACACAATTTTAAAAAACAATCCCAACTTCAATTTCAACAGGCAAGCAAATCCCTTCATCAAGCCCACATTGATCTTTCTCTTAATTGCACCACACACCAGCTAACAAACTGGATTTGCAATCTGCTAACCATGTCTTTGCCTACTGGGCAGAACAACAGTAGGCAGCCAAGCTATCGCTTAAATTCCAAAGTTATGGTAACAAAACGGGCAAATTGTTAGCTTGGCTTGCCCTGGCCCCCATTGCCCTACATACATTTCTGCCCTCCGCTCTTATACAGGATCACTTTTCACTATGCCCTCTGAAATAAATGCTCTTCTTACCTCTTTCTATACATCCTTGTATTCAGAAGACCTGATTGACATCAAAGCTGCAGAGGAACTACTCACCAGAGCACATCTGCCCAAACTTTCCCAAGATCACCTATTCTCTTGAAACACTCAGATGTGCAAAAAGTCCATACTGCTTTACAGGCCTTCATATAGCATGGCAAAAAAACCCTCATTTTGCACTTCAAAAAGTATGTCTTCCCAAGAGCAAGGGTGGAGCGGGTCTATGCAATATTCTGCACCTTCTGGCCATCCTTCATTTGAAACTTAAATCTTTTTCTCTCCACCTTAGATCTAACTTATTCATCAGAGATACTGTATTGGCTTGGAAAGAGGTACAGTGACTCCTGGGCTTGCCACCAACCATCTCCTGCTACCTGCCTATTCATGGAAACCCTATGTTTCCTCCCTCTAATGAGCATGCAGCTTTCACCCATTGGTCACATAAAGGACTTCACAATGTGATAACGGTTTTCAATGATACCAATAGATCCTTTAAGTCATTCCCAGTTGTGGCTGATCAATTTTTCCTTCTTCCCTTCACATATTTTTCACTACTATCAGCTGCTAAACTATCTCCGGACCTGCTACACCCCTCGTCAGGCCCGTTCCAGAGCTCATTCATTGAAATAATTTGTACAAACCAAGTGGTTGCAAAGTTTGTTTGCTCTACAGTATATGCTTCCTAATAAGGTTTTAGGGGCTCACAACACTGGCTATGCGTAGACTTGCATGGATTTGGTGTAAGTAGCCCTTCTGTCTAAAACAGTGAGATCCTTGGTTTCTAGTCTATTGGGTTTTTTACAAAAGGAAAATGGGCTGTTTATTGTGCAAAGTTGTACTTGGTAAGGGGATTTTCCTTAGAGCTTAATGAATGTGATGAAGTTTCACTGTGCAAAGAATACCCAATTATGTGCAAGGAAAAATAAAAAAAACAGCATTTTTGCTTGCACATAGTTGGATGATGGCTACCAGTAGAACCTCACCTTATTCACTAAGCTCTGGGGAAGGTTCTCTTATAAAGTGAAACTTTACATACAAAGTGAACAGTCTATTTGTCTTTAGTATATCAGCCTCCAGATGTCAGTTCCTCTGTACAAAGGTGTAAATGCAGAAACTGACCCGTGGGTATATCACATTTAATAACTAGTGGATGATGGTCAGTGGCATTAGGCTCCATGTACACGGGACACTTCTGAATGATGGAAACTGGCTGCTGGAAAACATAGGTTAAAAAACAGCTGTTTAGCCGTGTTTGTATACCGCATTTATGCACGTTTATGAACGTCTGCATTTTGAAGCGAATTAACTATTTCAGACATTTTGAGAGAAATAGAGAGAGCAGAAGCAAAGAGAGCAGTATTTTTTGAGATTAGCTGTCTTTTTTTTTTGTGGTGTTTGGATGTGTTCCAGCTCATTTCTGTGCAGAAATTATTGCAGCAGTGTCTAACATATTTTCTTTCATGTGAAACCTCAAAGTATGTTGTACCAGGTCCATTTGAGTACCGGGAAAACGCTTTGCATGCATTTTTCATGATGAAAAAAAAGGCTCTGGACAGTATCTGGAAATGGAAGAGTTAAAAAAAATTTCCAAACGCAAACGCTTATTATTATTATACAGTATTTATAAAGCGCCAATAGTTCGCTCAGCGCTGTACATTACAAAGGGGGACAGAACATGTGACAGAACAATACCAATACAATGCAAAACATGAGGGGATTGAGGGCCCTGCTCTTTCGAGCTTACAATCTAGGAGGGAGGGGATAGTGGCACAGGAGGAGATAGCTGTGGGGGATGGGGTGGTAGGAAGAGTGGAAGAGGTTGGCAAGTTAGCAGGGGGTGGGGTAGGCTTCCCTGAAGAGGTGGGTTTTCAAGGTGCGTCTAAAGGAGAGGAGAGTAGGTGATAATCTGATGGGTTGGGGCAGGGAGTTCCAGAGGATGGGTGATACCCTGGAGAAGTCCTGGAGGCGGGCATGGGAGGGGGAGACCAGGGAACTAGAGAGAAGGAGGTCTTGTGAGGAGCGGAGTGTGCGTGCTGGGCGGTACTTGGATATTAGGTCAGTGATGTAGTTCGGGGCAGTATGGTGGACGGCTTTGTACGTCAGTGTTAGGATTTTGAATTTGATCCGTTGCGCAATCGGAAGCCAGTGAAGGGATTGGCAGAGGGGGGGTGGCGGAAATGGAGCGGTTGGAAAGGTGAATGAGTCTGGCAGCCGTATTCAGGATCAACTGAAGCGGGGATAGCCAGCGGCGAGGCAGGCCAGTAAGGAGGGAGTTGCAGTAATCAAGTCGTGATATGATGAGGGAGTGGATGAGCTGTTTAGTGGTTTCTGGGGTTAGGAACGTGCGTATTTTGGCGATGTTGCAGAGGTGGAGTCTGCACGAGTTTGTTAAAGATTGGACTTGGGGTTTGAAGGATAGGTTTGAGTCCGGAATGACACCAAGTACTCTGGCCTGCTTATAAACGCGGTGGGGCTCAAGAGCAATGGCTTGCTATGCTGGGCACTCGATGGGGAAAAGGAACCAGGAGTGCCAGCAGGGGACCAGAGAAGAGGGGGATCAAGGCTTCTCTTTGCAATTATGACATGTTTGTAATGTAAAATCATTATAAGCTTTACAATCACTCTAAGGACGGTGTTTACTGCCGCAACTTTATTACAAGTATTTTGTTTTTATAAGCCTAGCCAAAGTAATAGATCTCTTATCTACACAATAGGTCAGGCTGAAATATTGTCATTAGGTTATTTTAAAAACATATCTTATTCTTCCCTGCTCCCCCTCCAATCCACCAACATCATCTATGTAGGGGGCCACATACAACCTGAACCCACACATGCCATATACCTCCAGCTCTTCCTATAAGCCTAGGTGCATGCATACACAGTATATTTGTCAATAAAATTACTTATTACATGCAAAATAAGAAGAATTATTTTTTTTTACTCTGGATAATGCCTATACAGATAGGAATTTGAGGAACAGACAATGTGACAGCTTAAAGTGGTACTAAAGGCAAAATAAAAAAAATAACATATGATGCAGTCTCTGTTTTTGAATCCTCCGGTAACTTGAAGTGTACACTTGTTGATCTAACCAACCATTCTTCTTCAACTTCCTTTAACCTCCCTAGTGGGGATGATTATGTCAATAATTCTGTGCTCAAAGCGGTACATTTTTTTGCATGAAAATATGTTGTTTTTTTATTGTAGGCCTGTAATTTTTAGGAATAACTCACTGAAATCTGTCTGAACAAGAGTCTAGTAAACATCCCGGGTATGTTAAAATTGGAAATACGAAATCATAAATTATAATATAATAAATAATCCTAAAAATAATATAATAACACATTTAATTCAATAATATAATCAAACCAAAAACACTGAAATTTGAAATATAGTGCCAAGTTCGCACATCACTGAGCTTAGTCGCAAAATCGTGTCTGATGACGAATTTCCCCACGAATCATTATCACTCAATTCTGCAAGTGGTTCTGATTTACTATCGCTGTTCTCTAGCTGGTCTAAAACCGCTTTTGACCTAAAGGGATGCTTTTTGGGACGCCATGGACGTTTCTCAGTGTCCAGGCAGAAAGAACAGTAAATATGCAGGCAGGGCACAGGACAAAGCACTCGGGACAAAATGTATGTGAAATGGTTTGATACAGTAATGTTTTACTATGTGATTTTAGTGTATTTAGTGAATGTCACGTTTAAAATTTTTTAATTTCCTGAAGCTTCCATCCCCCATACGTCACGAAGCTCGCAGGGAACGGAACCCGGAAGTTGGATGCCGGCATCGGCCGGAGGAGATGGCCAGGGACGCTGCAGGGGGGACACCGCATGAGCGCAGGACAAGGTAAGTGAAACAGGGATCCCGGAGCAACCCGGCAGGGTAAGCCCGAGTGTAGCTCGGGGTTACCACTTCTGGTACTGAAAGTTTACCCCGAGCTACACTTGGGAATACCTCCAGGGAGGTTAACAGACCAAACTGGGCAGCAAAAGTATGAGTTAGACACTGACAGGGGTACTTACAATGGTTAGCTATATTCATTTATATAAAACCTTTGTGCCAAAAGGTTTCTGTAACTGATTAAAAAGCTTTAGCTGCAGTTCAGCTTTAATTTGTTAGTCACTTATGTCCATCTAAATTTACTAGTTCAACTAAGGCTGGTTTCAAACTGATCCGTTTTTCTTCCGCTTTTCCGTTAGAAAAAGCAGAAGAAAAATGTGTGACCATGTAATCCTATGGAACTCTTCACACTGATCCGTTGCTGGTCTGCTGCGTTTTTTAAAATCCTGCTTGTTGCAGTTTTGAAGCAGGTTTGATACGGTAAAAAAAAAAAAGGAAAAAAAAAAAAAAACACACCAAAAACACACCTCCCCATTGAAATGAATAGAAAACGTCCCCAAAAATGCATCAGCGTTTTATTTTTGATGCAATGTTTGAGTCACATGTCCTTTCTAAAAGCCAGCGCAAACGCGGTAAAAATATTTTGCTATGGATCAGTGTGAAAGTAACTTTACACTACCCCCTCAAGACAATGTTGCTGTCAAAGGGTGGCTCCCTTAGTTAGAGGAGCCACTCTAAGAAAGCAAGTGTGTTACTGAAAGGTTAAGCTCACCTTTTTAAAAAAATTAAAAATGCATATTTTGCATATTTTTTTACTAATTTTTTATTGGCAAATGGCAATTTTACATTGTAGAACCACACTGCAACTGTGAGACAAACATTTGGCTCATGGTTACGGTGTGACACCACTAATCTCAATGGGCGAGTTTGACAGGCGGTGCCTGTTAGGCTGTAATTGCAGCTAAATTGGCTGTTTTTATCGCCTCTCCCTGGCTGCCCATGTGAAAGAGACCAAACAGAGAAGCACTGCAAAGCAGGAAGCCGAGCTTGAGTAGGTTATGTGCCCTTATGCACACTGGATATTTGTTAATTTCTCCTAGACGCACTTCGTCCCGACAGCAGAAAAATTCCTGATGCTTGTAAACGCATTACAAATACATTTAACACGTTTAGGTGCATATAGACACATTTAGGCATGCCAGTAATTTATTCTGGCCATTGAAATGAATTAATGCTTAAAGTGTTACTAAACCCAGAACAGTAAAATCAGTCTGTATACAGTATGTAGTGAAGCATGCTTGATATACTCACTGTGGAACCTAAGGGGTTAATCCTTTGCATTGTGTAAAAATGAGGTTTGATCCTGACTTCTCTGATCCTGCCCTTCTTCCAGTGCCCCCCTCTTATCTCCTGATGGGACATATTGTGCGGAGACACCCTGCACATGCTCAGTTTGGTGTTTATTGCTAGAAAAGGGTTTTTCTTTTTTGGGAGCGTGAATGTGATCAGCACAGGGCCAATCAGCACTGTCCAGACAGACGATCAGGGGTTCTGCATTCTCTAGGGTTCCCACCTCATCCCTTTATAACCAAACACATAATAATTACACAGGTTCTGTGGCTGATTAAGGTGGCAATTAAACTCACCTAGTGCTTTATCTGCATTAAATTAGCCTTGGAACCTGTGTAACTAATATGTGTTCGGTTTTAAAGGGATGAAGTGGCAACCCTAGCATCCTCCTAGAACAGAAAGAAAACTCATACTACAAGCTTTAACCAGTGCTCTGCTGAACACTGATAGAAGTCACAAGACTGCTCTAACTTCTGATCAGAAAAGGTATTTAGCAGTTTATATTTACTAAACTAATTGCATTTCTTTTTTCTAAAGCCTACCTAACCACCTGCCACCTGGATTCTGTTCCCTTGCAAATATTACGGTCACCTTCTGGCTCTATCCTTCACTTTTTAACTCATATTTTCAATCTCTCCCTTTCTACTGGCATCTTTCCCAACTTTCTAAAACATGCACTAGTCACCCCTCACTGCCTCCAAACTCCTTGAACGTCTTGTCTACAACCAGTTGAGTTGCCACCTTATTGAGAATAACCTTCTTGATCCCCTTCAGTTTGGATTTCTCCCACAACACTCCACAGAAACTGCTCTCCTAAAACCCACAAATGACTTATTAACCGCTAAAACCAATGGTCACTATTCCGTACTTTTACTCTTGGACCTCTCCACTGCCTTTGACACAATTGACAATAAACTCTTTACTTTGTGTCCGTGACTATACTCTCCGATGGTTCAAATCTTACCTATCTCACCACACCTTCAGTGTCACTTACTACTCTTCTTCCTCCTCTCCTACTCCTCTTACTGTCAGGATCCCCCAAGGTTCTGTCCTTGGACTTCTCCTATTCTCGTTGTACACTTCTTCCTCGGGTCAGCTGATAGCTTCCCATGGTTTCCAATACCATTTCTATGCTGATGACACACAAATCTATTAATCTACTCCTCAGCTCACCCCATCCATTTCCTCACGACTCACCGATTTTAACTGACATATCAGACTGGATGTCTCACACATCTTACTAAAACTCAGTCTACCCAAAACTAAAGCTCATAATATTAAATAATAAGGGATCCTCCTGCGCTCATGGGAATAATTGACAAAATACAGCTGCTGTCACTTAGCTGATACCAATAAGTGCAAAATAAAATTAAAAATTAGTGAAGCGCTTGTATCACATGAATACAATCATGTATCTCCATATAGTGTAATTATAAATCAAAGTGACCACTATATATAATAAATGTGTGTTGACTCCCTCTAGTGAAAAGAAAAAATAGTGTCAACCAAAATAGCTAAATAACACACATTAGGAAACTAAATATATAGTGCATAAATCAAATATAATGAACAGAATATATATATACGTGAAAACAGAATATTGGCCACATACAATGGTGTCTAAATTATACATAAATGATATATGCCATAAGTGAACAAGACAATATCAAAGGTGAAAAAAATATTCCATGCATGTGACTGTGCTTTAAGCTGGAACACACACGTGATCTCCACTTCTAAGTGCAAGTACTCTCCTTCAAATGGCAGCAATGCCTGCTCACCTCCCTTCCTCGACCCACACAGGGCCTCAAAGCAGTTACCACCTCAGTGGTGTATTCCTCTGGCAGACTCCTTATTCCTCCTCCTCTCTTATGCAACTCCCTTCCTCGACCCACACAGGGCCTCAAAGCAGTTACCACCTCAGTGGTGTATTCCTCTGGCAGACTCCTTATTCCTCCTCCTCTCTTATGCAACTCATAAAAAGACAAGAAAGCCTTCCATAGTGTAGTAAATTTAATAGGCAAAGTTAAAAATTACAAAGTTTTCCACTCACATGCTCCTTTCCATAAAAAAAGCGTTTTTCCCAGCCTGTGGGTAGATATGCATGCACCTGGGGGAATCCAATATGGCCACTGTGTCCGGACATACGTCACCAGGAAGTAGACAAACCGACGCGTAGCGTCACGTGCGTCGTGACTTCATCAGGGTACCCTGATGAAGTCACGACGCACGTGACGCTACGCGTCGGTTTGTCTACTTCCTGGTGACGTATGTCCGGACACAGTGGCCATATTGGATTCCCCCAGGTGCATGCATATCTACCCACAGGCTGGGGAAAAAACGCTTTTTTATGGAAAGGAGCATGTGAGTGGAAAACTTTGTAATTTTTAACTTTGCCTATTAAATTTACTACACTATGGAAGGCTTTCTTGTCTTTTTATGAGTTGCATAAGAGAGGAGGAGGAATAAGGAGTCTGCCAGAGGAATACACCACTGAGGTGGTAACTGCTTTGAGGCCCTGTGTGGGTCGAGGAAGGGAGTTGCATAAGAGAGGAGGAGGAATAAGGAGTCTGCCAGAGGAATACACCACTGAGGTGGTAACTGCTTTGAGGCCCTGTGTGGGTCGAGGAAGGGAGGTGAGCAGGCATTGCTGCCATTTGAAGGAGAGTACTTGCACTTAGAAGTGGAGATCACGTGTGTGTTCCAGCTTAAAGCACAGTCACATGCATGGAATATTTTTTTCACCTTTGATATTGTCTTGTTCACTTATGGCATATATCATTTATGTATAATTTAGACACCATTGTATGTGGCCAATATTCTGTTTTCACGTATATATATATTCTGTTCATTATATTTGATTTATGCACTATATATTTAGTTTCCTAATGTGTGTTATTTAGCTATTTTGGTTGACACTATTTTTTCTTTTCACTAGAGGGAGTCAACACACATTTATTATATATAGTGGTCACTTTGATTTATAATTACACTATATGGAGATACATGATTGTATTCATGTGATACAAGCGCTTCACTAATTTTTAATTTTAAAGCTCATAATATTTCCTCCCCCATGTGCCTCTTCCCCTGATTTCTCGGTCAGGATCAATATCACCACTATCAACCCATCCCTGCATGCCAGGGTGCTAGAGGTAACCCTGGATTCTGAACTATCCTTTCAGGCCCACATCCAATCCCTGTCCAAATCATGCTCCAGAATACACCCCTTTTTAACCAATGATACCACAAAGCTCCTAATTCACTCTCTGGTTGTCTCTTGCCTCGACTACTGCAACTCCCTCCTCATTGGCTTACCTTTTACATAGGCTATCCCCCTCCAGTCCATCATGAATACTGCTGCCAGGCTCATCCACCTTACCAACCGTTCAGCAACAGCTACCCCTCTCTGCCAACCCCTCCACTTGCTTCCACTCACCGAACTAATAAAATTCTAAATACTAACAACTTACAAAGCCATCCACAACTCTGCCCCCAGCTACATCACCAACCTAGTCTCAAAATATCAACCAAACCGCTCTCTTTCATCCTCCCAAGACCTTCTGCTCTCTAGTTCCCGTGTCACCTCCTCCCATGTTCGCCTCCAGGACTTCTCCCGAGCTTCTCCCATCCTATGGAACTCCCTACCCCAATCTGTCCAGCAATCTCCTAATTTATGCACCTTTAGGTGATCCCTGAAAACGTCTCTCTTTAAAGCCTAACCTGCTTCTCTCTAGTAAATCGCCATTTATTTCCTCCATCAGCTCATCCCCCCACAGATATTACCTTTTGTATCACTCAACCCTTCCTCCTAGATTGTAAGCTCTAAAGAGCAGCGCCCTCTGTTTCCTCTTGTACCAAATTGTATTGGAACTGCAATGTCTACCTTCATTTTGTAAAGCGCTGCACAAACTGTTGGCGCTATATAAATCCTGTATAATAAAAATTTCTATGTTCTGTGTACTGTGGAAGACTGAATATAGTGAATGCAGGGTCCTGGGTTTAGTAACACTTTAACCTCCCTGGCGGTATTCCCGAGTGTAGCTCGGGGTAGAGTTTCAGTACCAAAAGCGGTAACCCCGAGCTACACTCGGGCTTACCATTCAGCATTGCTCAGGGATTCACTGCAGCGCTTACCTTGTCCTTCGCTCCTGCGATGTGTCCTGCGATGTGTCCCCTGCAGCGTCCCCGGCCATCTCCTCTGGCCGATGCCGGCATCCGGCTTCCATTGTCCGGTCCCTGTGACGTCGGGACGTACGGGCGCCGGAACCGGCGGCAAATTTGAAAATGTAAAAAAATGACATTTTTTTTTAAAACGATTATTACATAGTAAAACATTTCTGTTTCAAAGCATTTCACATACTTTTTGTCCCTACTGCTTTGTCCTGTGCCCTGCCTGCATTTTGATTGTTCTTTCTGTCTGGAAACTGAGAAAAGTCCATGGCATCCAAAAAGCATCCCTTTATGTCAAAATCGGTTTTAGACCAGCTAGAGAACAGCGATAGTAAATCAGAACCACTTGCAGAATTGAGTGATAATGATTCGTGGGGAAATTCGTCATCAGACACTGAAAACAATTTTGCGACTTTGCTCAGCGATGTGCGAACTTGGCGCTATATTTCAAATTTCAGTGTTTTTGGTTTGATTATATTATTGAATTAAATTTATTATTATTATATTGTTCTTTTTTATGATTATTTATTAAATTATAATTTATTTAAGTTTTATCATATCTGGAATGTTTAGTAGACTCTTGTTCGGACACAAATTTCAGTGAGTTATTCCAAAATTACAGCCTACAATAAAAAAACAACATATTTCCATGCAAAAAATGGGTACCGCTTTCAGCACCAAAAATCTGAAATAATCATACCGCTAGGGAGGTTAAGCGCTAAATGCACTTAGCATTTACAAGCGTTTTGATGTGTTTACACACGTTTAGGTGCATCAAGCTTTTTTCTTTTGTGGCAAAACGCTGCTGTTCCAGGACAGGCTGGTGGTGGGGTTTTTATTTTCCTCTAAATGACTCTGCCTCTAAACAGCTATGTGTGCACGGGCACATAGGCTAACATAGACAGAGGCAGGAAAAAAAAAATGCCAGATACCCCTGGAAGCAGTTGAAAAAATGTCCAGTCTGCATGAGGCCTATATGGCAAGTTTACTTGCTTGTACTTATGTAACTATAAATCATTCACATGTTTTTAAATTATTAACATTGTTTGTGTTTTTTTTGGTCTATATGGCTCCCTGGCTATACAATACTGCTTAAGGTCCCAAACAAGTATTTAATATCTGATTAAATATATCAATTTCACAGCTAGTAACTCAAAATCTCAGAGGATGAGGACCATATAAATCTGAAAAAATTTATATTATATAACAATTCCCGTCCATATATTGTAGGAACAGTTTGAGACAATGAAGCCCCAACAGTCTATTCTGTCAATCCATGCATTTAATTAGCTAATTACAACCTGCTGACACGCATGCACTGACTATGGTATTCAGCTAGCTTTTTTTTTTTTCTCTTTTTCAATTCATTTATTATTAACCCTCAGTAAACATCTGATCTCTTCTTCCCTGAGGGAAGCAAGTAGTAATTTGGCTCTTGAACACAAAATTCTCTTGCTAATCTTCTGAGTTGACAATAAAGTGTCACCAGCTGTCACTGTTTGGTTGCAGATGCATGTACATTATCGAATGTATACACAAGACAGCGCCCTCTAGAGTACACTTGTTGGTTAAATTGCACTTTTGCAGTATTGCAAAGACAAACTATAAAAAATATGGTCACATGACCAAAAAATGAAATATTAGAGAAACAGCTAAATAAATATTATCTTTATTGTACCTATACACATTTATTAATAGGTGGATATATATTTTATTACTTTTATGTGGCAAGACGAAGCACCTTTATTTTTTCTGCAAGTCAAGAAACGTTTTCTTTTACAGTTTAGATTAGAATAAAAATCATTTTCGGGAAAAAAAAAAAATACAGCTTATTATTTTCAAACTTGATTTCATTATCATAACATCATCATAAGTGTAGCCTTAAAGTGGTTGTAAACCTCAGACATGAAATATGAACAAAGAATATCCCTCTATAGTGTGTACTTGTCTCAATTATGAACACAAAATGTCTTTTTTGTCTGATGCTTCATTCCTCTGCTGTCAGCATGAGTCACTTCTGACAAGTTTTCCTGACACCAAGAGAAAAATGGTGACAGGAGAGGGACCTCCTGGAGATTGACAGCTTCAGCTCTGTGCCTGTTAGCTGAGTGAAGGGGGGGGTGTCTCTTTCCTCCTTTCCGCTCTCCTCACTGAGCTCTGAAGAGTGTAATTTCAGCTCTTCTCCCTCTTTTTTCTGAACTCTCAGACAAGCTTTATAAATTCTGGACTTTGAACAGATGTAGAGAAGAGAAGACTGCAGATAAGCCTGTAAAATATATGTAGGAGGATGTGTTTTATCTCTGCGTATCACCTGAGGCCAGTTACTTCACTGGGTATATGTAAGGGTTTACAACTACTTTAACCTCTTCCAGTCTGGCCCAAGTCGATAAACAGCCGGACTGGAGCACTGCCGATGCAGGTGGACGTTTCTAAATGTCCCCCCGCATCCATTGCCAGTGCGCGCTCCCTGGGAGCACGCAGCACAGTGATCGGTGCCTGCACAAAGATCGCTGTACGAGGCCTCTGTGTGAGGTCCTGATTCATGTGATCACTGATTGGCCAATCAGGGATCACATAAACAGTAGTAAACAAGATATCACTTCCTGACATCATTGCTTACTACTTGTGAAATCTGTGAATGATCACAGAGGTCACATGGTAAACGGCTCTTCACAACAGCCCTGTACCATGTGACAAGCTGTGACCAATCACAGCTCTCACAGTATTTCTCAATGGTTGCAGGAATGCAACCAGAGAGAAGAGAAGGAGAAATTATTGATTTTGCAGCCTTTATTGGTGTAAAAGCAATCAGTGTAAAAAAAAAAAAATCTTCATTGCCCCCACAAGTAGTACAGTGTCACTATGGTGACACTGTACTGCTAGGGTGACAGTACGTAAAAAAAAAAAAACAAAAACAAATATTATTAAAAAAATTAAAATGTACAAAATTTGTTTGAAAAATTATAAAAGTTTTGCTTATAAACTAATTTGGGTTATTTTTGCTTTTACTAAAAAGGTAAATGAATGTATTTTGGCCAAGATTTATGAAGAAAGATTAGGAAGAAAGATTTGCAAAATTTTATAAAAAAATACTTTTTTTTTCAAAATTTTGGGACATTTTCATTTACATAGCAAAAATAATAAAAATCCCAGTGGTGAATAAATACAACCAAAATAAAGCTTTATCTGTCTCAAAAAATGCTAAAAAATTCATATGGGTACACGACACGACCGCGCAATTGTCATTCAAAGTGTGATAGCACTGAAAGCTGAAAAATGGCCTGGACTGGAAGGGGGTGAAAGTATTCGGACTTGAAGTGGTTAATGCATATAAGACATGAAAACTTTTACCTGGAAAATAGCCTAATAACATTCAATTTTGCCCCCATTCACACAGAACAGGAAGAATAGCTATATGAGGGCTAGTTCACAACACAACTTCTGCATTCAGTCTGCATTTCCACTTGCACCTTTACATGTTTTGCTAGAGCATTTGTTGTTCGTTGCAGGGCATTTCTTTACTTTTTTTCTCTTCCTTGTATTTATGTGCATTCTGGTGCATTTACCGTACATGCGCATAAAAATGCATGTTGCTGTACTTTTTTAGTACTATTAGAACTGAATGCAGTGTGTGAACCAGGGTGATTGGAAAATACTGGTTTTAAGGTGTTTTTTTTTAATGCTCTTAACCGCTAGCCTACAGGGCACTTATACCCCCTTCCTGCCCAGGAAAATGTCCAGCTTTCAGAGCTGTCACACTTTGAATAACAATTACGCGGTCAAACAACATTGTACCCATATGAAATTTTTATCATTTTTTTTGTGACAGATAGAGCCTTATTTTGGTTGTATTTAATCACCTCTGGGTTTTTTCTTTTTTCTTTAACAAACCAAAAACCACTGAAAATTTTGGAAAAAAAAACAATTTTTCTTAGTTCTTAGTCATAAAATTTTGTAAATAAGTGATTTTTCTCCTTCACTGATATGCGCTAATGAGGCTGCAGTGGTGGGCACTGATAGGCTGCACTGATGGGCACTGATAGGTGGCACTGATGAGGAGGCACTGGTAGGTGGCACTGATGGGCATTGACAGGCATCACTGATGGGCACTGAAAGGCAGCGCTGATACATGGCACTGATAGGCAGCACTGACTGGCACTGATAGGTAGCACTGATACGGCACTGATAGGCGGCACTGACTGGCACTGATAGGCGGCACTGACTGGCACTGATAGGTGGCACTGATAGGTGGCACTGATGGGTGACATTGAAAGGCAGCTCAGATGGGCACTGATATGTGGCATTGATGTGCACTGGTAGGCACTGGTATGTGGCATTGATGAGGCACTGATGGGCACTGCCACGAGGCAGTGATGAGCACTGACACAAGGCACTGATGGACACTGACAGGTGGCACTGCTGGGGCTACATTGATCATCAGGGCACTCTGATCATCAGTGTCCTGATGACCAGTGTACATGTCCCCACCGCGTAAAGCCAATTACTCTCCTCTCAAGTTGTCAGCGTGACAGCTTGAGAGGAGAGAAATGCCGATAACCGGCATTTCCCTGTTTACGTGTGATCAGCTGTGATTGGACACTGCTGATCACATGACCGAGCCGACATCTTCGGCTCTTTCCGTGATCGGTGATCCGCTGTGTCCGAGGGACACAGCGCACCGCCGATCGCCATGCTGCACGCTCCCTGAGCCGCGCATGTGCGGTGAGAATGGGAGGAGGACGTCATATGACATCCTCCCAGAACAAGAGAACCACCTTGCACCCGTCATTGGACTATATGGCGGGCGGGAGGTGGTTAAAAGCACCTAGTATGAACAAGCCCTAAATTTAAAATTACAAATAAAAGACAATATAAATGCTCCCCTAAAGTGAAGTTGCCCTTTAATGCAAAGAGCAAGACTCTGCAGTAACTCATACCATCCTGTTAACAATTCACTTTCATTCCTCTGTCCAGCTTGTTTTACGTTCACAGACATTCACTTTGGAATGAACGTTCAAAATTATAGTTTGTCATTAAAGTGGCACGGTTGATCTTTGGACTTGGCCCAATAGTGTTAACAACTAATTACTACAATGTATATCAATACTTTCTGCATTAGCAAAAAAACCTAATAATGATTGCCAATGGTTTTCTGTATGCCACTACTCTTTGCCCGGCATACTAAGGACTCGTGCACACTGCAGCTCAAAAAAATGCCTGATTTATAAGTTTTGAGCTTTTTTTTTCTTCTGCCTCTAAATGTCCCTCCATGTTAGCCTAGGTGTCCATGCCCACATAGGCATTTACAAGAGTTTAGAGACAGGAGTGTTTAGCAGCAGAAAAAAAAAACACCAAAAAAAAACACCAACACTACAGAAGAGGAGCTTTTGACAATTAAAAATGCTCAAACACATCTAACGAAAATGAGTCTAAAAACGCACATTAAAGTGATTCTAAAAGCTTAAAATTTAAAAAAAAATAACAAGCAGGTATAGGTAAACTGTATAGGTAAAGTTGATCCAGGGAATATCCGATTGCCTCTCGGGGGATCAGGAAGGAATTTTTTTCCCAGCAGGAGCAAATCGGATCATGCTTTGCTGTGTTTTTTTTTGCCTTTCTCTGGATCAACTGTGGGTATAGGAATATAACTTTTTTTTTTTTATGGTTGGACTGGATGAACTTTTGTCTTTTTTCAGCCAGACTAACTATATAACTGCATAAATGTCTATAATACTTACCTGCTGTGTGTGGTGGTTTTGCACAGAGCAGCTGGGATTCTCCTCTTCTCAGGTCCCCCGCCGGAGCTCCTGGTTCCTCCCACCTGTCAGGTGCCCCCACAGCAAGCAGTTTGCTATGGGGGGCACCCGAGCATGCGAACTCATCAGCCCCCTCTCTCGTCACATTAGCTCACTGGCTGTGACTGACAGCAACTCCTGCTGCTGTCTAAGCCTATGAGGAGAGGGAGTCCCTGGATAGCCGAGACCCCAGTGCACATCGCTGGATCGAGAAGGGGCTTAGGTATGCATTAGGGGGGGCTGGGATGGATGCTGCACAGAGAAGGTTTTTTTACCTTCATGCATTGAATACATGAAGGTAAAAAACCTTAAGCCTTTACAACCACTCTAATGCTAGGCACATTTATTGGTTAGAATTGGCCAGTATACATTATCTGGCCAATGCAATGTCAGGCACTTGACACTCCTAAATGAGATTAAATGCAATTGCAAAAACACATCCTTAAGTGTTTTTTTTTTTACACTGATTTTTAGAATTGCTCAGTGTGCATGAGACTATTGGTACTCAGCAGCAGTTGATACATTACAAGATTCAGAATTTATGTTCAGGACCATGTCAGAGCAGCACAGTGGCTAAATGGTTAGCACCTCCGCCTGGCAGTACTAGGGTAGTTGGTTAGATTCCCAACCACGGCACCACCTGCTTGGAGTTTGCATGATCTCCCTGTGCCTGTGTGGGTTTCCTCTGGGTACTCCGGTTTCCTCCCACACTCCAAAGACATGCTGGTAGGTTAATTGGCTCCTGTCTAAATTGGCCCTAGTATGTGTATGAATGTGAGTTAGGGACCTTCGATCATATACCCCTTGTGGTTTAGGGACTGATGTGAATGTACGATATATATATGTAAAGCGCTGTGTAAATTGATGGCGCTATACAAGTACCTGAAATGTTGCCAGTTAATAAATTTAATTCAGTGCCATCTACCAAACCTGACACTGCAGAAAGTATGTTGATTTCAGGTCTGAGGTGCCAGTCTTGGTGGCACTTTACTAAAATTCTGAATGGATTGTCCATGGATGACACACATAATGGTGGCCATGCATGTTTCTACAAATAACTGCTTTCTTCTCCGATTGATCTCTTCAGATATAAATAATTGATAACTCATTAGAACGATATACCACACTTGGGGAAGTGGATTTTGATTGGTAGTTAATGAGGAACTACACTGCATCTTAGCACCAAAAACACTATTGAATTAATTTTTAACATTCAAAGTAAACACACCCATCCATCCATGTCTCCATGCTTTATTTCGCTCAAAAATCACTTTGAAAAAAACACCCTAGCATTTCTGGCCGTGGCCAACTTGAGTAAGGGCAGATGATTCATGTAGCATTTACTCCATGGAATTCATCTGCCCTTAGCTCAGGCCTGCAGGCAGGAATGTGTGCTTTCTGTAAGCATGGAAACTAGGAAGTAACTGAAGAAATGTAGAAAAAAAGTTTAAAACAAGTAAATATGATATACTTTCCTATCTAAATAAACAAAATAGCAGGAGCGCTGCCTCAATGTATGTTATATTACATGAAAAACATGCAATAATAATGAACACATAAAAATTGTGAAATAAAGTCCTAAATGTGAAATCAACAAGTGAACAAAAATCCCTTTCACATCCAGAAGGTGATAAGTGCTCTGTGCTCCTCGCATGTGTGGCCCCTCACTCACCAACATCAATGGACTCCTATGGTGAAATAAGAGACATTCACGCTTTTGGAAGGGCATAAGAAGACATGCTGTAGCTTGTAGTCCTCTGGTTAAGGATTGCTTGTCATCCAACATCAATGGACTCCTATGGTGAAATAAGAGACATTCACGCTTTTGGAAGGGCATAGGAAGACATGCTGGAGCTTGTAGTCCTCCTGGTTAAGGATTGCTTGTCATCCAACATTAATGAACTCTTATGGTGAAATAAGAGTCTTTCACGCTTTTGGTGGGGCATAGGAAAGACATGATGGAGCTTGTAGTCGTTCTGATTAAATGTTGCTTGTCATTCCCAGTGATTCAAATGTGGAGCCGATAGATATGCTGGAGCTTGTAGTGCTCCTGATTAAGCTCTCATGCACACTGGACGTTTTTTATAATGCTGGTAACGTTAGCTGTGCAAAGTCATGTTGAAAAACGCAAGTTTTTCAGCTTTTTTTAGCGTTTTTGCATTAGCGTTTAGTGGCGTTTTTCCGCGCATGCGTTTTTTTAGCATTTTTTTCTACCAGAAAAAAAATAATTTTTTGGCAAAAAAAAAAACACCGGTTTGCAGCGTTTTGCTGCGTTTTTCAGCGTTAGAGCATTTTTACAGCTAAAAAAAACTCCTCTGGAAACCCACTAGTCCTGGTTTTTTTTTCCAGCCAAAAAACGTCCCTGCCAAAAAATGTTGATTCCAGTCTATGTGTGCATGGATACATAGGATAACATGCTGCGGGGTTTACTGGCTGTAGAAAAAAACGTCAAAGGCCAAAAACAGCAGCTGTAAAAATGTCAAGTACGCAAGAGGGCTAAATGTTGCTTGTCATTCCCAGTGATCCAAATGTAAAGCCGATAGGTGTATACATGTAAGGAATGGAGAGAGGCATCCAAAATTCCATTTATTAGTAAAAGCTGACACACTGGTATTGCACTCACAGGTTTCCAGATACAATAGGCATGAGTCTCCAAGTGTACAATAGTAGGACGCTAGCAGGGGCCCCCGGGCAATAGGGAATCATGGGGCCCCTGTGTCCTTGCCCAAACTCAAAAAAGCCTATGAAAAAGGTACCAGGGGCATCTCATGGGGCCCCCTACTGACCCCGGGCCCTCGGGCAGTGCCCGAGTTTCCAAATGGTCAGTCCGCCCCTAGTCGCTAGTAATCCACAGAGCTCCTAAGCTAGTATCAGCACGTCCGTGCCAGGACTACAAGCTCCAGCATATCTATCGGCTCTACATTTGAATCACTGGGAATGACAAGCAACATTTAATCAGGAGGACTACAAGCTCCAGCATGACTTCTTATGCCCTACCCAAAGTGTGAATGACTCTTATTTCACCCTAAGAGTCCATTAAAGTTGGTGAGTGAGGGGCCACACATGCGGGGAGCACAGAGCACTTACCGCCTTCTGGATGTGAAAGGGATTTTTGTTCACTTATTGATTTCACATTTAGGACTTTATTTCACAATTTTTATGTGTTCATTATTATTGCATGTTTTTCATGTAATATAACATACATTGAGGCAGCGCTCCTGCTATTTTGTGTATTATGTTGCAGGGGCGGACTGACCATTCGCCAATCGGGCACTGCCCGAGCGTCTGGGGTCAGTAGGGGACCCCATGAGATGCCTCTGGTACCTTTCATAGGCTTTTTTGTGAGTGGTTTGAGTGTGGGCGAGCACACAGGGCCCCATGATCCCCTATTGTCCGGGGGCCCATGAGTTGTCAGTCCGTCCCTGTTATGTTGATAACGTTGTACCTTTTATAGGAGCAGCAGCCCAGTTTTGTGTTTAATATTGAGTGTGCACTATTGATTGGTGTGTCCTAAGCGCAGGTGATCGTCATCTAACATACTTTCCTATCTATTTACTAATGCTAGCAGCATAAGAAAAAAAAAAACATTAATATTGATTGACAGAGTTAGGCTGGCCATACATTATACAATTTTCTGTTCAATTTCTGCCCAATTTCCTTTAGATTTACCTTCAACTATGTAGTGCAAGGGCCTGCCTAATTGGATACAATTAAAGTGTTGTTTAGGTTTGTATAATATATGGCCAGCCTTAAATTCTGCTTTAAGATATGATCCAAATTTGTGATCGTAAATTATCGATCATATCTCCCATGTAATCTCATAATCTGATTGATCAGAATACGATCATATTCATAAACAAAGTATCTCAGTGCAGC